TATACAGTGCCTTGCGGAAGTATTCGGCCCCCTTGAACTTTGTGACCTTTTGCCACATTTCAGGCTTCAAACATAAAGATATAAAACTGTAATTTTTTGTGAAGAATCAACAAGTGGGACACAATCATGAAGTGGAATGAAATTTATTGGATATTTCAAACTTTTTTAACAAATAAAAAACTGAAAAATTGGGCGTGCAAAATTATTCAGCCCCCTTAAGTTAATACTTTGTAGCGCCACCTTTTGCTGCGATTACAGCTGTAAGTCGCTTGGGGTATGTCTATCAGTTTTGCACATCGAGAGACTGAAATTTTTGCCCATTCCTCCTTGCAAAACAGCTTGAGCTCAGTGAGGTTGGATGGAGAGCGTTTGTGAACAGCAGTTTTCAGTTCTTTCCACAGATTCTTGATTGGATTCAGGTCTGGACTTTGACTTGGCCATTCTAACACCTGGATATGTTTATTTGTGAACCATTCCATTGTAGATTTTGCTTTATGTTTTGGATCATTGTCTTGTTGGAAGACAAATCTCCGTCCCAGTCTCAGGTCTTTTGCAGACTCCATCAGGTTTCCTTCCAGAATGGTCCTGTATTTGGCTCCATCCATCTTCCCATCAATTTTAACCATCTTCCCTGTCCCTGCTGAAGAAAAGCAGGCCCAAACCATGATGCTGCCACCACCATGTTTGACAGTGGGGATGGTGTGTTCAGGGTGATGAGCTGTGTTGCTTTTACGCCAAACATAACGTTTTGCATTGTTGCCAAAAAGTTCGATTTTGGTTTCATCTGACCAGAGCACCTTCTTCCACATGTTTGGTGTGTCTCCCAGGTGGCTTGTGGCAAACTTTAAACGACACTTTTTATGGATATCTTTAAGAAATGGCTTTCTTCTTGCCACTCTTCCATAAAGGCCAGATTTGTGCAGTATATGACTGATTGTTGTCCTATGGACAGAGTCTCCCACCTCCGCTGTAGATCTCTGCAGTTCATCCAGAGTGATCATGGGCCTCTTGGCTGCATCTCTGATCAGTCTTCTCCTTGTATGCGCTGAAAGTTTAGAGGGACGGCCAGGTCTTGGTGGATTTGCAGTGGTCTGATACTCCTTCCATTTCAATATTATCGCTTGCCCAGTGCTCCTTGGGATGTTTAAAGCTTGGGAAATCTTTTTGTATCCAAATCCGGCGTTAAACTTCTCCACAACAGTATCTCGGACCTGCCTGGTGTGTTCTTTGTTCTTCATGATGCTCTCTGCGCTTTAAACGGACCTCTGAGACTATCACAGTGCAGGTGCATTTATACGGAGACTTGATTACACACAGGTGGATTCTATTTATCATCATTAGTTATTTAGGTCAACATTGGATCATTCAGAGATCCTCACTGAACTTCTTTAGAGAGTTTGCTGCACTGAAAGTAAAGGGGCTGAATAATTTTGCACGCCCAATTTTTCAGTTTTTTATTTGTTAAAAAAGTTTGAAATATCCAATAAATTTCGTTCCACTTCACGATTGTGTCCCACTTGTTGATTCTTCACAAAAAAATTACAGTTTTATATCTTTATGTTTGAAGCCTGAAATGTGGCAAAAGGTCGCAAAGTTCAAGGGGGCCGAATACTTTCGCAAGGCACTGTATGTAAGGTGTAAGCATCCTGTTTTGCTAAAAACTGTTTGATACGATCCACGCTTTTTTTCTTGCCAATCTCTTGTTCTGCTGCTCTATGTAAACCCGCAAGCCCTGCAAAACTGCCAGGGTGAGTGGGATTATAGTAAATTTTCTTCAATAAAGTCTCCAGTTTAGCAGGCATGTTTACCACAAAGCATAACACTCTTCTCTGAACCCCTAATCTTGTAGTCCTGTGTTTTCATTCATGAAGCTTTTTTTTTTTTAATTTTATTTATTTATTGAACAAACCAATCATATATGAAAAACATGACACACACACAGTCATGGTTTCTTTCATTGTTTTTAAAGAAACACTTAAGAATAATACAGAATGGATAAATGAAAAGTAGTATACAGATAACAACAACAGCTTTATTTAACACAAGTTTTTAAAAAGCAGTTACATGTTTTTTTAAAGAATAATAGATAATGGATAAATGAAAATAAATCACACAGATAGCACACAGATAGCAGCAGCAACAACAGGGGTTATTAATCCATGCCCTCCCAAAACTGCTCTGCTTCTTGAAGATTAACAATTTTTAACAGAGTCCACCACCAAGCCAGTGTGTATTTCATTCAAAACTTCCATCACCTTCTCAGAACCTTTCAGCTCCTCTAAAATGTTTTCCGTGGCTCGGATCACCTCTCCTTCTGACGCTGTGATGACAGTGCTGACCCAAAAGACAGGAGTGGGTTCACATGCGCAGCCTATAGCATATTATTCAGTGGCTTTAACTCCAGTTGAGCTGGGATTGCCACCATGTTATCATCACTTGGCTACGGCGCATTTGATGTATGAGAAAGCGTCAGCCCTGACGATGGGCTATCCTGTGGAGATTTTGTCTCATCACAAACTGGTAAACTTGATTGAGAGAAGTAACTCTATCCAGATGTGACACTGCGTGTGTGTAAAGTGAAAAATCCAGCTGATTTCATTCCACTGCCTTTTGAGGGAGAGCCACATGATTGTGTGGCTGAGGCAGAAAGATATGCCAAATTACCTCTGGAGGCTGTGGATATGACGTTGTTTGTGGATGGATCATGCTTTAGAGAGGGAGAGGCTCTCAAAGCAGGATTTGCTGTGGTAGAGGAGAAAGATGGCAAGATGCAGGTGGTGTGTAGTCAACAGTGTGCCCAGCCCTGCTCCGCACAGCTGGCAGAGCTGGAAGCTCTGACTCATGCATGTGAGCTTGCTGAAGGCAAGCGTGCTAATGTGTATACAGATTCGGCCTTTGCTCATGGGGTTTGTCATTTGTTTGATTCAGCATGGAAAGGAAGAGGCTTCAGGAAGACAGCTGCACAACCAGACCAGACCAGGAAGAGCAGGTGACCATTGTGGTAGGCAGAGTCACAATGGCAGACATAGGAGACAGAGTACAGTGATTGCCAGGTAATCTGCGGTGGGGAAACTCGCCGCCAGGTAATCCACAGCGGGGACATCGCCAGAGGTGATCACAGCTAGGAAGAGTGCCACATGAGTGGCTGCACCAACATAGCAAAAAAATTCAAACACACAGACACTGTCAGCACTGAATCTTAGCGTGTAAACACTGTACCGAAAAAATAAAGAAATCAAATGCACAGGAAACTGTCAGTGTTGAAATCTTTGGTATGGTTTACCTGGTAGCCACAAGAAGGGCATATCTCGATAACATATAAAGTTCTGGCGATGAAGGAACATCTACCAGGGGTTTAAGTAGGAAAGGAAAGTGAACAGTGGAACGCGCCTCAGCTGTGCACTTCACCCAATGAGCGCTTTATCATTGTGTGTAGCAAAATGATATAGTGCTATGTTATGTATTTGCAAAACTGTTCAAATAATTGTTTAATCTGTTTGACCTTTGGAAAAACCTGACTTGTGCACATGTATGGCTTTGTGAGAGGGTGCAGAGTGAAACTCACAACAACAGGAAGTGTGCGCAGGCAGAACAAGATGACAGGGCTGTCCTGCATCCATCAGCCTTGAACCTGTGATCCTATGAGCTTGGTTTGTCTCTTGTATTGTTATGACTACAAGGAGAGGAAATACATGAAAGACAACAGAATGAATCAGTGAAGGGCTGGACTTCTGGAATGTGTTTGTGGCTGCTCTCAGTGTAACAACAAAACAGGATGAGAGTCCAGCAGCTGCCTCAGTTTGGGTTATACTGGGAGAGCTCTCAGTGAAGAACTGTGGCTCCATCAGTTGTGAACATGGACGTGTAGGAGCTGGGAGCTGAATGTCAGCTGTCACACTTTATAACCACATTACATTCTTTATTATCTGTGCTCAGACACTGTTTGGTGCTGATTATTTGACTTGAGAAATGTGATGCTGGGTTGTATAATTTAGTGCCTGTGATATATTTTATATCATTGCTGTAGGTTCTTAACATTTAGTTATATGACTTGCATTAACTATTCTGAATGTTTTGGTCCTACTAGTGAATGAGCTGTGCTGCTGTGCAGACATGAAGAGCAACAACAGCCTGACTCCCTCCTATTTTCAGTTCACTGTGTTTGCAGACTATGGGCCCCTCAGATATCTTTTCTTCAGTCTCTCTCTGTTGATCTACATGACTATAATCTCTGCTAATCTTGTCATTGTTCTCTCAGTCTGCCTGGAGAACTCTCTGCATCAAGCCATGTATATTTTCATCTGCTCTCTGTGTTTAAACTCTCTGTATGGCTCGACCGGCTTCTTCCCCAGGTTCCTGATGGACCTTCTGTCCGACACTCATTTCATCTCCCGTCCGCTCTGTTTCACTGAGATGTACATTACTAACACTTATGTAGCACATGAGGTGTCTCTCCTCACAGTCATGGCCTATGACAGGTATGTTGCTATTTGCCAGCCTTTACACTATCACAGTAAAATAAAATTTAGGATGGTGCTGCTGCTTTTGTTCCTTGCTGTGCTGCACCCTGTGTGTATTTTAGGCAGCTTTTTTTATTTGGCCACCACTTTGCCTTTGTGTGGAAACAAACTGCAGAGGGTTTTTTGCAACTGCTGGTCTATAATCAGTTTCTCCTGTGTGGATACAACTGTGATCAACATAGCAAGTCAATTTGTTGCTGTGGCATCAGTCTTTATCCCCCTGTCCTTTGTCCTGTACACCTACCTGCGCATTCTGCTTGTCTGCAGGAGAAGTTCATCTGAATTCAGAGGAAAGGCCTTACAGACCTGCCTGCCCCACATAGTGACCTTTGGGAACTATTGCATCTCTCTGTTCTGTGAGTTTTCACTGAGTTGGTATAAAGTTGATGAAGTAAATACATTTTCTGTTGTTTTATCTTTGGAGTTTTTGATCATTCCTCCCATCATTAACCCTCTGGTTTATGGCCTGAACCTGCCACAGATCAGAACAGTGATTTCTGGATTTCTAAATGTAGGAAAAACCCTGCATCCTGTGTAATTCAAAGGACCAAAAAGCACAGGACCCTTAATTCTGTTTTTCACATTATGTGCTTCTAGGACATTGTTACTCTAGTTTGTTTGTACAAATATTGTGTTTGTTCACATTTGGTTTCAACAAATCCAAATCCATGTGAAGAGAATAGATGCAGCCTTAAACTAAACCACACCGCAACACATTAATTATTAATGATGGTTGTGTTTTATATGCACAGTCCAACTCACATCAGACTAAAACATTTCTCAAATACTAATATTTTAATTTTAATTTACTGAAAAGTATATTTCCACTGGATATGATCTCCTCTGGTTCCATGTATCACCATGTCATATGCTCTATGTAATAATGTATTTTAAAAACTTTCATGAGCAATAAATTTGCCTCTGTGCTGGTTTTCTGGCTGACTAACAAGAATAGAAACTGGGCATTAACTATATATACTTTTAGCATATGTTCATTTCATTTATTTTATATAATGTTGTCCATGCAGATACTCAGTCATCCAGGTCATAGTAAGTTGAAAAAACTTAGAAAAAAATCAACTGGACTAGGTTTTTAGGTCGAAGACATTTCACCTCTCATGCAAGAGGCTTGATCATTTCTGCCCGACTAGCGTTGAGTCAGAGATATTTATCCCACGTCGGTGTGGTTTCAGTCCTTTGAAGGCCAACAGTGTCCCCTAACAACTGAGTCATTATAGCCTGGTATCAGTGAGCATCGTTACCTGTCTTTGAACCCACTCTCTCTCATACACACACCTACTTGTTTTACCTACTTTGTGGGGACCATTGGGAAACTAGTGACATCTTAATAAGTTCAGCATACTTTCAGCTACAAAAGCCATCCAGGTATCAAAATGTTCAGCTCTTCAAGAACATTCCTGTTTGTATTTTTCTTTTTTTAACATTTATAGTTTTTACAATATTCATCTTTTTTCAACAAATTTTGCCCCATTCAAATGAATGGGCACAACTTTCACAACTTAAGTTCAGCATACCTTCAGCTAATAACTTAACTATTCAGCAACTCTTCAGTTATTCATACTGTAAACTTCTTTTTCATATCTTTTACGTTTTTTTTTTGCATAATTGCTGTTTACATTTACTATGGTGTCCAGTTTTCATCATGTCTGCATAGGAAACCTGAGACACATCACTTGGTTTGGTATGGTTTACCTGGTAGCCACAAGAAGGGCCCGCTTTATCATTGTGTGTAGCAAAATGATATAGTGCTATGTTATGTATTTGCAAAACTGTTCAAATAATTGTTTAATCTGACCTTTGGAAAAACCTGACTTGTGCACATGTACGGCTTTGTGAGAGGGTGCAGAGTGAAACTCACAACAGGAAGTGTGCGCAGACAGAACGAGATGACAGGGCTGTCTGCAGCCAGAGGTGTAAGTGAGTAAAAGGTCTTATTGTTGACATTTACTAAAAATATATGAAATGCTTGGCCTTCTATAATCAATATTGTAATCTGCATTAGTAAATATATTTACAGGATTATTTTAGTATCATATGCCTTATAATCTACTTGTGTGTTAACCATTTTATTTGTCTTAAAGAGTGTAAAAGACTTGCAGCAGCCAAGAGCAGTATCTGAAAAGCAATCTCCAGGAAACCACAACAGGAACCAGGGCTTAGCAACGCTCATAGTGACAGGTGTAGACGGGAAGTGAGTGAAGTGAGGGCCTTGTCTAAAAAACTGTCTGAGCTTAGGGCATTCAAAGGTCAGGATGTGTTCTTAGAATTTTACAGATGGAAAACTGCCTGGTGACAAGATCATCAAATGAGGGGTCAGAACGAGGTCAACCAACCAACCAAGGAGCGAGGATGAAGGACAACGCGGAGGACGTCAGATCTACCATCATTTGCATATTTGAAAAACTGTATAATTGGACTGGGTTCAGGAGTCTAGGCGTTCCCCTGCTCTGAAGGCAGTTGGAACGGTTTTGCTGTTGTTTGGTAGGGATTCAGAGAGACGGAACCCAGAGCTCTGTAAATTGCTTTCCTTGAATATTTTTCTGAAATATTGATTGTAATAAATATCTTAAAAGACAGATTTGTCTTTGACCATTCTTCATCAAGAACACGCAGGACTGGTTTCAGTCCATCATGTGACATACTCTTTTTACCATGTCAGCATACCATACCTTTGGTATAGGTGAAACTTTATGTTGACAACCCTGTTGTACTGTATATCTTCAACTGTAGACTCTGTAGGCACATTTACCTCTGTACAGCTCTGAGGACTTTCTGCTACCAGCAGAGATTCACAGCTTCTGACTTTTTACCCTTCAGTGCCATTATGTTCAAAGATCAAAAATATTACCATTTGTCTACAGTTGTTTATTGTAGATTTAATTACAATCACACCTAAATTATGAATCACACAAAATCATATATACAACAAACAGTTGGCTTTGTAAAACAGTTGTTTCAATTCTGCCAGAAAGATTTTACTCCACAGAAAACAATTTTGAAATGTTTTTTCTTCTACATCACAACCAAACTATTTATCCTTATCCTTAAATGTTTGGACTTACTAGCAGAACAACCAGCAACCAAATCTTATAATGGTTGTATTTTCAATGTTAGAAGCAATGTGCATTCCCTAAACCCCTTATATACATTTGTGTAAAGTCTTGTATTCAAAATCAGCAACACAATTCTGGTAGTCAGGTGTCTGGTGAGATGATGCTTCTGGCTTTGCAGGATTCCACTGGGTGTCGATCAGTCAGGCCCAGCAATGCTGTGTCTGCAGACATGCAACCTCCACTCCAAATAATCCAGGTCCTCCTTACTCTTGTGTGTTTTTATTTAAGATAACAGCAAAATTCTGCTTAAACAATATTCTATTACTAATCAATATTTTTTTCAAATACAATATTTCCAAATTTATGACCAGTTAGCAAAAATATAGAATTAGACAGTGTCTACTGCCAATTGGATTTATCAAAAGACAGGACAGATAGAGCAGGAGAGCACAGAGACTCTCAGATCAATAAAGATAAGCAGATCAGGTACCACTAACCTGATTGTCCATAAACAAGGGCACCAATAAATGTATTCCAAGAAATAGGTTCATCAAAGTGTTTCAAAATTCATCAAGCTGTCCAAAATTCCAAAAAAAACAAAGAGTGGGACAAGAAAGATAGAATTCCTGTTAAACATAGGGACAAGAGAGGCATCGGACAGCAGGGCACTTGTAAGACAAAATGACCATCACCACCCTTCCCTCCAGCCCCCATGTCTAACGATCTGTGAAAAGGATGTGCATGGCCTCTTTAAACAACAAAGGATCAGAAAGGCACCAGGCCCCCTCCTGCCTGAAAGTGTGTGCTGATCCCCCCCATCTTCACACTCATCGTCAACATGTCACTGGAGCTGTGTGAAATCCCCTTCTGCTTCAAATGCTCCACCATCATCCCAGTCCTCAAGAAAACCCCCATTAGTGGATTGAACGACCACAGATCTGTCACCCTGACATCTGTAGTTTGTAAGACAAAATGACCATCACCACCCTTCCCTCCAGCCCCCATGTCTAACGATCTGTGAAAAGGATGTGCATGGCCTCTTTAAACAACAAAGGATCAGAAAGGCACCAGGCCCCCTCCTGCCTGAAAGTGTGTGCTGATCCCCCCCATCTTCACACTCATCGTCAACATGTCACTGGAGCTGTGTGAAATCCCCTTCTGCTTCAAATGCTCCACCATCATCCCAGTCCTCAAGAAAACCCCCATTAGTGGATTGAACGACCACAGATCTGTCACCCTGACATCTGTAGTTATGAAGTCCTTTGAAAGACTGGTGTTGGCCCACCTGAAGGACATCATAGACCCCCTGCTATACCCCCTGCAGTTTGCCTACCGGGCAAACAGGTCAGTGGATGATGCAGCGAACATGGCGCTGCATTACATCCTGCAACACCTCGACTCCCCAGGGACCTATGCACAAGTTTCAGGCTGGCATTCAACACCATCATCCCAAACATCCTCCACTCCAAACTGACCCTGCTCACTGTGCCTGCCCTCACATGTCAGTGGATTAATAGCTTTCTGACAGACAGGAAGCAGTAGGTGAGGCTGGGGAAAACCATATCCAGCACCCAGACAATAAGCACAGGCACCCCCCCAGGGATGTGTGCTCTCCCCTCTGCTGTTTTTACTCTACACCAACAATTGCATCTCAAAGCAAGCTCTGTCAAGCTCCTAAAGTTTGCTGATGATACAACGGTCATTGGTTTCATCCGAGACGGCGACGAGTCAGTCTATAAATGGGAGGTTGAGCAGCTGGTCCTGTGGTTTAGCCGCAACAACCTGGAGCTGAACACGCTCAAAACAGTGGAGATGACAGTGGACTTCAGGCAGGAGGGCAGAGAGGATCACTGCAGACCCCTCACATCTGGGACACAATATGTTCAAACTCCTCCCCTCTGGACAGCGTTACAGGTCACTGTGCACCAAAACAACCAGGCACAGGGGCAGTTTCTTCCCCCAGGCCATCACTCTGATGAACACTTAACCCACAATGGTATGACTGTTCAGTAATCCTCAGTGCAATACCTGTAACTATACCTTGTACATATAGATCCATAAAATGCATCTAGACTGTGTGTATATACAGGTCTCTATTTATATTCCCATTTATCTCGTTTCACAGAGAGCATTCCTTTGTCTGTCTGCATTGTTTACTGCCTGTCTATACTGCTTATTTGCACTGTTTGTTGCTGCTAATACTGCTTATTTTGTTATATTACACAGCCTTATGTTGGTTTACTGTTTACTTACCCCTTGCATGGGGATATGTACATGCACATTGACAGCCGATGTACCAGAGTCAAATTCCTCATGTGTCCTACACACCTGGCCAATAAAGCAGATTCTGATTCAAAGTCTTCATTTACACAGATAAAACAATCACCACAATCCTGATTAACACTGCATTTCCAGCTGTGGTCTAAATAATGTCAAAATTGCAGGTGTCATGAAAATAATTTGCTAATGATTTCACTAAGTGTGCATTTACCAAGTCTTCATTCATATACAGTATGTGAACTCGCTATCATATGTGAACTTGCTGTTGTATGACCACGGTTTCAGCACACTGGCAGACTAGACTCAGAGACAGGAGGGAGTAGGCCAGAAGAAGTGGGAAGAGAGAAAGAAAGAGTTATATTTCTTCACAGATATACTAGAAGCTCATGTCAATTTTGTTACAGTGGAGTAATTAAAATGATAATTTATTTAAATAAATTGATGAAGGCCTATGTAATTCCTGTTGAAAAAGTTTACTATGCTGGGAAGGCATTCAACACTTTAAACAAATGCATTACTTTAGCCATCACAAAGTCATATTTTATTTTTACTTACTGTTCAGAGGCAGTGTGGAATCACAAAGTCATGGTATACAACTAGAGATATGAAGACAGAAAATGGAGAGTTTAGCTTTTCACTTTTCAATAATGAACAGATTAATAATCAATATACACTGATCAGGTATAACATTATGACCACCTGTGTTATGGTGAGCACTCGAGGAAGCGAGTCAGCGAACAGGCTGGACCCAGATGGCAGGTGCGACACTGATCACAAACTTTATTGCACTGAGAAAACAAGTTATGGAGATAGTCAATATGCTGGAAATGTTCGCCAGAGGAGGTAGAGCTCGAGGGGTCCACAGATGGGGAGCTGGATGTGGCAATGCAGGGCAGATGGAGGAAATGAAGACAAGCTCAGACAGGTGAGTATAGCCGGTGAACTCAGAGTCGGGTCGGTCCCCTCCTGGCCGGGTTCTTGCTTTTCGTCTGTCTTTCCCCTAACATACACACTCTACCTGACCAACTCCGTTGCTAACTTTATTCCCAGCTCTCACTTCCTGTCATTGTTTCCCCAATTGCGTTAACCCTTAGATTCACTTCTCTTTTTGAAAACATCCTGACTAAGCAGAAGACTTCTAACCTCTCCCAGAGAGCAGCACACAAAAGGTCAATGCCTTTTGCTGCTGTTACACAAGCCCTTTAACTCATACTCACCCATTCTATTGTGTTTTACTCCAGATTACATGTTATACATTAACTGTTACTATATTCTGTTTCTTTTATCCACTACACCATACTCTAGGGTCACCCCCCAGCTGCATCACTGTCTGGTATGGCAGCACTACTGCTATTGACCACAAGTGCGTGCGGAGAGTGGTAAAGACTGCTGAGAAGATCACCAGGACTCCACTACCCTCTCTGCAGAGCATCTACTGCCGCAGAGTCCACAGGACAGCTGCCTTCATCCTTAAAGACCCCACCCATCCCCAGCATCGACTATTCACACCTCTATTCCCAGGCCAGAAGTACAGGAAATGCAGGACTTCCAGACTGAAAAACTCTTTCTTTCCAACTGCCATCACACTCCTAAACAGCTGACAGGAGTATACAATCAGGAATTAGTTCATACAGTTCCACCTGTACTGTTTACATTCTAAGTTTGCACATGCACAACTGCACATGCATAATTGCACATTTACTGCCACCTATTGCATATACAGCTCCAATGTAGCATACATTCTTTCTTTATTATATTCTTATTATTTTTTTTCACTTGCTGTTTTTAAGTGCCTTTAGATTTTGTGCTACTATTTATCTACCATATATTTCACTTTTTGTTGTTTGGCATTCATTGTGGACAGCAAAGTAAGAATTTCATTGTACAGAGAAACATGCTTCCTTACTGTGCACATGACAATAAACACTTTGAGTCTTGAGTCTGTCTTGCACAACCTTTAATGACCTCTCCTGAGACTCTCTGATGCCTGTCATTGTACACAGACAATTTTTTTTCCAAACAATTACTTTATTTGGACCCTTTACACACTTGATTGTAATCAGTGTGTTATGAGTGTGACCAGGCCAATATACAGGCCTATGTAACCCAGACATTAATAATTTTTAGTAAATCCAAAACATCCATAGGCAACTGAAGGCCCAGATGGTTTCTCCCATCTCCGTTCCTGCTCTTCATCCACAGCCTGGTTCCCCGCTGGCTGGTTCTCAGCCTGACCTCCAGCTGCAGCAGCCCGAGCAGCCTCCATCCCAACAGCAGCCACTGTCCCAGCAGCACCTGCCACAGCCAGCTCCCTGGCACCCATCACAACAGCCTTTGCCTGAGCCTGACCTCTAGTTGCAGCTTCCGTTTGAGCCTGTCCCTCATCTGCAGCAGTCTCCTTCTCAGCCAGACGTACAGCTGCAGCCGCCTCTGCATGTTCCCGACCTGGTCATAATGACATCCCCATTGACACCAGGGGTCCAAGGTGTGCCAACGATGGGTCGGCTGGTGCACCAACACCGTGTCAGACTCTGTTCCTGTTTCTGAGTGGGTTGGCCAGCACGCTGACATCGCCTCACACTCGGTTCATGTTCTTGACCCCGAATGGGTCAGCCGGCATGCCGACACCGGCTCTGTTCTTGCCCATTGGCCTGGTAAAACAAATGTCCCCTATAAGGTATTGGTCACCTGGTGTGCTGACAAGAGTGTCCCCACCAAGGTCTCCACTTCTCAGTGCACCGACAAAGATGCTCCAGCCTCCCCCTCTGTTCCAGCTCCTGAGTGGGTCAACGACAATGCCACCCTTCTCCCAGCAGCTGAGTGGTTTGACAATGCCAACAACACCACCAAATCTCCAGACCCCGAGTGGGCAGACAACACCACCCTGTGCCCAGTTCCTGAATGGGCTGATGTGACCTCTGTTCTGCCTGCCAGCTCTTCGTCAGCCCTGCAACTCCAGCCCCAGTTGGTCCCACTGCAGCATTCCCTGAGTGTGGCTGTCGTGGCAAGAGTGAGATACCAACTAAATTAATTCAGACAAACCATTACAATTTAAAGGATCATTTAATATTACAATTATTCTAAATAGAGTAGCATCTAAACAGATAATCTTGTAGTTAGGGAACAGAGAACAGAGATCAGAGAACAGAGACTCTCCTCCTGCAATGAAATAGATAGAGCCTAAAGAT